GGTAGTCGTAGGAGAGGTAGTAGTAGTAGTAGTAGTACTAAATGGTAGCAGTAGTAGTAGTAGTAGTAGTAGTAGTAGTGAGTGGTAGCAGTACTAGTAGTAGTAACAGTAGTAGTACTAGTGGTCGTAGTAGTAATAATAGTAGTAGTATCAGCCGTAGCAGTAGTAGTAGTAGTAGTAGTAGTAGTAGGAGTAGTGGTCCGGGTCGTAGTAGTAGTGGTCGTAGTCGTAGAATAGTAGTAGTAGTAGTAGTAGTAGTAGTACGAATAGTAGTAGTAGTAGTAGTAGTAGTAGTAGGAGTAGCAGGAGTAGTAGTAGTAGTGATACTAGTACTAGCAGTAGTAGTAGTAGTAGTAGTAGTAATAGTAGTAGTAGTAGTAGTAGTAGTAGTAGCAGTAGTAGCAGTAGTAGTAGTAGGGTGTGTATAATAGTTGTTGTAGTAGTAGTAATAGTAGTAGTAGTAGTAGCAGTAGTAGTCGCGTAGTAAGAATCGTAGTAGTCGTAGGTAGTAGTAGTAGTAGTAGTAGTAGTAGTAGTAGTAGCAGTAGTAGTAGTAGTAGTAGTATCAGCAGTAGTAGTAGTAGTAGTAGCCGTAGTAGTAATAGTAGTGGTAGTGGTAGTAGTAGTAGTAGTAGTAGTAGTGTCGTAGTCGTAGTCGTAGTAGTAGTAGTAGTAGTAGTAGTAGTAGTAGTAGTAGTAGTAGTAGTAGTAGTAGTAGTAGTAGTAGTAGTAGTAGTAGTAGTAGTGGTCGTAGTAGTAGTAGTAGTAGTAGTAGTAGCAGCAGTAGTAGTAGTAGTAGTAGTAGTAGTAGTAGTAGTAGTAGTTGTAGTTGTTGTAGTAGTAGTAGTAGTAGTAGTGGTGGTGGTGGTGGTGGTGGTGGTGGTGGTAGTAGTAGTAGTAGTAGTAGTAGTGGTAATACGAATAATAGTAGTCGTAGTAGTATGCAATCGGCGCGATAGCAATGCCAGGGGTGGATCAAGGTACTGCAGCACACGGTCGGTGTGAGACATGCTGTTGCCCGCCACGGCGCTGTAGTTTTCCATCTGGGGCGGCAAACGGTGAAGGCATCGGAGACACGGTAGCCTCATGGAGGAAGACAATCAGTTGTCGCCCCTTGACCGTCGGACCAGGAAAGAGGCAGAGAGAGATGCGCTAGGATGATTGTGGCAGGATGTGGGAAGAATGGTGAAGCCGAGGGCGAGAGAGAGAGAGAGAACATAGGATACGATATATATATATATATGTATATATATATATATCCATATACATGTGTATAGTTTTAAAGAGAGCGAAAGAGAGAGAGAGAGAGAGAGAGAGGGAGCGACTGGGGAGAGCGGGGAGGGTACTGGGAGTCCCAGGAGGGCGTCTGACGTGAACCACGCAATCTCACTGACCTCTCGTCCATCACGTGTTCCTCTTCGCTGGGGTCACTCCTAGCGCCACTGGGTCGTCCTGCGGACCCGCCTACTCTGACATCCTCTCAACATGATGCAGCCTGAACTGCTCGGCATCATCTATCTCCGCGTTCGCTGTCGCCTGCTTGCCATCATCATCCATTCCCTCCTCCCAGTGCGCCTCCCACAAGGCCATGGCATGGGTCACGACGACGCACTTGCTGTGCCTCCACGCAAAAAGGATTCATGACTATTCTTCGTTTTTTTATTGTCCAACGCTGGTCCGAGCCAGCCACTTGGGGACAATAGGACTGTACAGGACTGGGGGGGTGGGGAGCGCTGCTAAATGGAGGGAAGGGAGATGGCGGAAGAGGCGGGACCTATCCCACAAACCGCTCGAACAAACAACTGGGCCTAAACATCAACCGTCGCAATGGCCGCAATGCATCATGTCAAACATCCAGACGGTAATGCTATAAAACAATGTGTGCCATGTCTGCGGCCACGTGCATGCCCGTAACAACACATGCGATACATCGAGCCAACCCAAACGAGCATCTTGCAATGTGAAGCGAACGACAGAACGCAACATGGCACGGTACGGATGCTTGCGCAAAGGTGCACTTCAGGTCAAGGAGACTTAAGAACTTAAGAATGTCACAAAGGAAGGTCGGACGGGACCCGACTGCGGGAAAGCGAGGAGGCGGCCGTGAAATGAGCGTGAATCCGAAACACAGGCCGCAGAGACTAGGCACGTGTGGCATATGGGGTATAATGCGACCTGCAGGGGCAACCCAAACAAGTAGAGAGACATCGCTGAGCGGCAATCAGAGTCACTGGCCAAATCGAGCGAAGACACTTCGTGGTGCCACCAGTGTAGCAATAGAGCAAAACGCTGTCTGGACTCACTGCTGAATGGAGTGTCGCTGATCGCCTGACGGTCGCATCATCACTGTGCAAGAAGAGCACCGAAAGCATCTAGGCAAATGCTCGTATATTGGCTGCGCGCGCCAAACTGCAGGCACTCGGCACAACCGATCCGACACCCCACATGATGATAACCCGAGACGACTGCCCGAATCCGTTTCCACCAACAGCAGGCCATCCAGCCAAGCCCGTGGCCCAGAACACGTGGCAACTACGCGCGCGCATGCACTGACAAGTTCAGACGGCTTGTGGACGAGGGAGGACGGAGAGGAAGGAGGCGGCGGGGGAACAGAGGGACGGGAATGGGAAGGAGGGGTGAGGATGAAGAGCACGAGGAGAAGGAGGGCGAGGAGGAGGAGGAGAAGACTAAAAGAAGGAAAAACGGCATAAACATAAACTGTCGCCAGTCCGCGCGGATTTCTGGGACCCGCGCTGGACCCCGCTCCCTGGCACGAGGGGCGCGCCGGGGGCGGCGCCAGAGGCGCCCCAGAGGGGGGGCCCAGTGCAGACCCAAGAAATCCGCGCGGAGCGCCGAAAGCTCATGTTTACGACGATCTGTTCTTCGAGAGTGCGAGGAGAAGAACGAGGGCGAGGAGGAGAAGACCGAGGACACGTCGCAGAAGGACGTCAGAGCCCGCAGGGGAGCGAGGCCGTCACCGTCGTCGCCGCCTCCTCCGTCGTGACCAATTGGGGGGAGAGATCCCAAGCGGAAAGCACAGCCCGGCGGGCGCAGAGCGGTACTGTGAGGGAACCTCCGCAGAACTCCTCCTCTTACTCGTCAGCCATCTTCTCCTTCTCTTCCTGAACCACCATCTTCTCCTCCTCCTCGTCCTCGTCCTCGTCCTCCTCCTCCTCCTGCTGCTGCTCGTGGTCCTCCTCCTCCTCCCCCTCCTCCTCCTCAGCCACCGCCGGATTCCAAACACTCCCGTCCCCCTCCTCCCCTGACAGGAGAAGCCGGCGACAATCACTCAGGAGCACCACCGCTGCCAACCGCATCACCAGACTGGCGGCCAGACGGAGGGGACGAAGGACAGGCAAGCGGCTGGTACGACCTGGTCTGTCTTGGCTGCGAAGGCGAAGGCCTGACGTTACCCTACTGCGATGCCCCTCCTCCTCCTCCCGCTCACTCTGCCCTCCGCCACCTCTGGATGCATTAGACGGCGTTGGAAATCGATGAAACGGCAGCGCTCCTCTGGGGGCGATGGCCGCGAGAACTGCCCGCGATCCGAGCATGGAAGAGGAGGGGGAGTCGAAGGAGGAGGGGCGGGGAACGGGGAGTCGGAGGAGGAGGTGGGGCAGTCGAAGGAGGAGGGGGAGTCGAAGGAGGAGGGGGAGTCGAAGGAGGAGGGGAAGTCGAAGGAGGAGGGGGAGTCGGAGGAGGAGGAAAAGGGGGCGAAGGATGGGGACGGAGGAAGGGGGAGGGGGAAGCGGAGGAGAAAGGAACGGAGGCCTCCCGTCACCCTCCTCCCCGTCCTGCCACTCCCCCTCGCGAGAGCCTACCGCTCACTCACCGTCACGGGAACTGCTGACCAGGGCGGGACCTGTCCAAGAGCGTGCCACGACTGTGTCGTCGAGGCGAACCCAGCTGCAGTGACGAGCCCTCCCCGAGAGAAGAGGCCAACAAAAAGCGGAAGACGTCAAACCTGCCGCCACCCCCCCTCCCTTGGCACGAAGGAAGGCATCCCGAGAGATACGGGTCCCGAACATAATTATACGCTGAGTAAATTCTTGACGGCCCCGGGAAGCGAAAACATCCCGGCAGGGCCCCCAGGCCGAAAACAGTGCAAAAACTAAATTTCTTGGTGGCGAGCACAACGGAGTAGGAGGATGGGGGAAGGCTTCTTAGAAGGAAGCTGCTTCTTAGAAGGCGCCGGCACTACATCTATATACAAGGACCGCGTCTTCTAAGAAGCAGGGGTGTTTCTAAGAAGCATGCCCCCCTCCCCCTACAAAAAGTGCTCGACCACAAGAAACTAATCACAAGAATCCCAACCCTGGAACCCCAGGATGTCCACTGGTTTATTGCGTGAAAGCGTCACGCTTTCCATAGCAAAACAATTGAAAACCAGGGCACCCTGGAGACACGCAGGGTGTTCCTTGACATGGGTTTCCACTGTACCCCCCTCTGCGCGTGGCCGAATTTCCCCCCCCCCGGACCTCCCTGGGCCCGTGCTGGCAAGAATTTCAAGCGGAATCCAGACGTGGCGGGGGGGGGGGGCGCCTCTCGGAGCCCCCCCCTAAAAAAGAAACCCTAGAACCATGAAGCCCCTTCCCTCCGAGGGTCAGGTCGGGCCTGTCCTCCCACAGGCGGATTTTGGAAAAACAAATTCTCTACAAATATGCGAACTTTAATTCGGGCGTTGGCAGAACTGGGTTTAGTGGGACCTGTTTTAGTGATGTGTACTGGGGGACGCCCCCCCCGCCCCGTTCCGCTAACCAGAATTGCCGCACCCCCCCAAAAAACACCAGCTACCGCAGATCTGGTTTAGTGTGATTCTGGCAAATGTAGGGGCTCTGGGGCCCCACTACTAACTGGGTCCCCGTACCTGGGGCCTTGGCTATACCCGAATCATCAAAAGAGAGTGGAAAATCGCTAATGACCAGACTATTTTTTACCCCGCTTGATTTTTTTTCCTGTTAGGGGGACATGCCCGACTTAACCCTGCCATCGAGCGACTCCCCCTCGATCTGAGAGGGGCGGGGTGTCGCTCCCGCGGAGGGGCGCCGCGCACCCGGCGGGGACGACGCTGCCCTGGACCCGCGCCCAGAACTCGGCCGCCTGCCGTCCGCGCGCGCGTGGAGGCGCGAGGGCGCTGGCGCAGCTCGCCATCGCTCGCACGGTCATTCCTCAAGGGGCCCAAGGACACACACACATAAATACACACAAGTAAACAGGTTCCCCGTATTTTCCCACATTTTCTGGGCCAGATCTTCTGGGGAGTCGACGATTAATTGTGTCTGTGTGATTTTTTCCCTCCTGAGTGGAGGCGCGAGGACGCTGGCGCAGCTTGCCATCGCTCGTACGGTCATTCCCCATGCACTTGTTCGGCTTCGTGCATGCCTGTTTTCGCAGGAGTCGCCACGAGGCTCCTCGATGGCCCTCACCGACTTTCGAAGGCACACGCCCGAGCGATGCCAAGACGGGGAGGGCCCCTCGACGACGGCGCCAACGGCGGCGGCGACGACCTCCCCGCCCATGCCCGCACCGCTGGAGCTCACCGATGGCCGCCTGCGGCCTCCAGAGCCCGCGGGAAAGGCCTCCCTGGGAGGGCGTCCAGGCCTCCACCCGAGCGAGCGTCAAAAATCATGCCAGCGACGCCAAGACATCGCGTCGCCAGAGGTCTGGGAGAGCAAGGGGAACGTAAAGTACGCCGGACTTACTCCTCACTTCCCCCCTCTGGGCCCGCCCCCGACTGGTTCAGGAGCGCGCTAACATGGATTAGCGATCCATAGATTTGGCGCGCGGTCGCCAAATCCATGGATCGGGGGAAGCACCCTCCCAAAAATGCGGCCGGTGCCGCCTCGCTCGGCGGCGGAAATCCGCGATTCTTCATGGGAACGGGACCCGTCCGCTTCTTCCGGGACCCTTGATCCATGTTTGCCATCGCCTGACTGGTGGCCCATGCACGCGCGGGTGCGCTGCGGGCCTGCAGCACGAGGCAGTCCCCTGGCAGGCCAGGCAGCGCGGCGTCCGGCGGCCCGTCCTCGCGGGCGAGTGGCCGCCGCCGCCAGTCGTCGACTGCCGTTGCCGCCTGCCGTCGCCTGTCGTCCGTCGGGGGTCCTCTGGCGTCGTATTCGTCGTCGTCGTCGTGTCATCGTCGGCTTCTGGACGGGGTACGACTGCCACTCCCCCTGTGGAGGGTGGGACGCTCGAGGAGAAAATCTCCAACAAAAACAAGTCGTCGTCGTCGTCGGCAGCCTCCGGAGAAACGCTGCGTCACCACTGATACGTCCACACGGATTCGTTATCGGGGGCGGCTCAGACCCAAGCAAGTGAGAGTTCGCCGTGGCGCGCGCTCCCCCGACCTGGGGGCTTCAGGGCACCAGCTCAGAACCTTCAGGGGGGTGAGGAAGAGAATAGAGCCCTTTTTGTCTGGGCGGCACGATGCCGCGTACCGATCTAGGCTGCCATGTTCGAACATTCTACAAGCTGCCTGCGCTCAATTGACGAAAGGACGAAGAGAAACCAAAACTGCACTGTTCAAGGGGGAAGCGCTGCCTGCCCGCTGATGCAGATCGCCTCTTGACCCACCACTGGTCGTCACTCACCAGTGGTGGGGTCAAGAGACGATCTACATCCGATCATGCGACATCCATTGCGAATTCAAACGTGGAGAAGATCATTTCAGCGGAAAATGCGCAGCCGGCGGCAAAATGTTTCTGCCGCAGCCAAGTCCCTCGTCTGCGCCCTGGCCTCCAGGGCAGTGGACGGCGTGGACGGGAGCGCCGCGGAAACCAGGGAGGCCAACATTAGAAGAAGAAAGACGGCATTAGGCGGCGCCGGAGGCGCCGCCAGGGGGGGGCCAGGGAGGCCAACATTAGGCGGCGCCGGAGGCGCCGCCAGGGGGGGGCCCAGCGCGGGTCCAAGAAATCCGCGCGGCGCGCCACAAGTTCATGTTTATAGCATGTTTCTTCCTCGGAATCTGCTTGGGCACCTGCGTCAGTGCAGATCGGGCTGTAAACGTGGGACTACTAATGCTACGCAGAGGCTACGCGCTGCACATCTGACGTCGATCGATCATCAATGGCGGGCGCCCATCCCTGCCGACACACGACACAAGACGATCTTCATCACGGAAGCTGGGGACAAGACGGCACACGACGATCTTCATCACGGGAGCTTGGGATGGCCCGGGCCTGACTCATGATGAAATGCACGAAAGCCTACTACTACCTCTACTACTACCACTACGACTACGCCTACGACTACGACTACGACTACTGAAACTACTACTACTACTACTACTGCTACTACGACTACGACTACGACTACGACTACTACTACTACTACTACTACTACTATTACTACTACTACTACTACTACTACTACTCCCAACACGACTACGACCACTACCAGTGCTACTACTATTACTACTACTACTACCACTACTACTACTACTACTACTACTACAACTACTACTACAACTCCTACCACTACGTCTACAACAACTACCACTAC